ATTGCAGCGCGAGGATACGACCGCAGCCGCGGTCCTCTCCCCCTCCCTCTCTCGCAACAACCGTACAAATACGAAGTACTTTCTCCAATTGAGCGATACGATATATTGATTTGCCGATTGTCGTTATCGTCGATGACGTTGCTTAATTAAAGGCAAACACAAATATCGCTAACACGCCACGATGCTGGAATAACGGAGGGGAGGAAAAGAAAGAGACAAAAAGATGAAGTTTGAGTAATCCTCGAAGAAGAGATAAGAAAGCTAAATCGCAAGAGCCTCGTTGAGCGCGGCAGGAGACAGGAGTAAGAGTAATGTCGTGTCGTGGTCCCCGCGACGATCGCACGTAGCAAGTCTCTTTTTCTCTCTTCCTCGTTTCTCTCCCCCCCCCCCCTTCTCTCTCTCACTCTCCTCGTCGTGAGTACGCACATTCGTTTATTTTAGCGTACGAGCGTAACGAATAACGTGCGAGCATTACGTAGACCCGTTACACGATTCGCAAGATTTCGCGCGCGCGCGCGCACTATGCACGCGTGCACGCACGCACGCACGCACCTTACGCATTGCCGATACGCAATCCGCCACGAGTGCAATGTACGTGAACGTACGGAGAACTATAAATACGGGGAGTTCGCTCTACGTGGGAGAGTACGTAGTCCTAGCTCGTTTTCTTTTGTTTTCTTTTCATTTCTTTTTTTTCCCCCTTTTTCTTTTGTTTGAGGGAGGAGGGAAGGGGACAACACGTGAACACACCGAAGGGGTACTTAACTAACTTCACTCTCACTCGCGCGCGCGTTGCCACGCTACGTCGCTATCACCGGCGACGCCGCGAAAGGGACAAACAAAAGAGTGAGAGATGCTCGACGTGCGGAGCAGAAACACGTATGCTCGCGCGGATATTTACAAGACAAAACGAAGAAGGTCCTCGTCGCACCACGTGATTAATTTACATAGGCACCACCGTGGTATATGTACACTTGTATATATAAGAACTTCGACCGATAAGGAGCTTGGCGCAATAAAAGGAACAGAGAACAGAGAATAAGAATTTCAACCTACATCAGAAATCGTGTATTGTGGAATACGCAGGGTGTATTTTCTGATAAGTTGAAATTCTTATTCTTTGTTCCCTGTTCCTTTTATTGTGCGGAGCCCCTAAAACGTTCGGCTCGAGCGCTATCCAGAAAAAAAATAACTCGGCGCGTCCGAACATCTCTGCTATAACCTATAACTATTAAAACGTTGCGTACACACACACATTCTCTCTCTCTCTCTCTCTCTCTCTCTCTCTCTCTCTCTCTCTCTCTCTCCCTCCCGCTCGCTCCCTCGTATGTGTTACGACGTGGCCTTAAAGGCCGTCGCACACAGATTCAGCAGTAAGCGTACTTCGTTGAGACTGAGAGAGAAAACTTAACGTGTGAAAATACGGTTAATTTATATCAACGATTCTTTAAACTGGTTTCCGCTTGCGCGACGCCATATATGTACCTTATACCCATACATGTATATGTACAGCACAGATTACTCCAGCAATTTTGTTGCAAGCTTCTGTATTATATGGACTGATATGCGAACACATTTTCGATGCGTCGAAGAGTCGAAATAAGTTAATTGCATGTAAATTTATACGTAAACACATCCCGAGCAATACAAAGTCTAAAATTATGACATAAGACGTCTTTTAGATGCAAAAAACATCTTACTGATTTTAGATACTTGCTGTCTGGGATAAGCATGACACCCCCGAGTGTCCCAGACGGAAGAAACGGCATAAGTTAGGATTATCATTTCAGGTATCCCACGGGTATTCCGTTATCAGTAGTGGAATATACACGCGAGGTCATTAATGCCTTTAACTGCCTTAACATTGAATTTATGCGCGTATCAGGCTATCGCAAAACATCTCCCATCGTATATATATGCACCCTGATAAACACCCAAGTCCTAAAGCATTAAACGACCCCGTTAAGCGCGTCGTCTAATATGTCAAATCGCGTGTGCCATGGCTTGAAGTCGTCATCCTTCGCCGCGTACAATCGTGATTCGCACACCTTCACGCCGGTTCGTCCGTGTGCGCCTGTTCTATGCGCTATCTTCACTCACGGAACCTACTTTTCGTTCTCTCGACGTGTGCGTGTATATACGTGTGTTGCTTGTCACGACGCAAATGCGATACACTTACATATAATATACATATATAGGTGGGCACCATGTCGACAGCGCGCATGCGAGTTCAACGGAAAAGGTGGTCTACAATGCTCTACAGGTCATATTTGTGCGTCTTATTTGGATATAGAAGAAGGATCAGCGAAAAAGAGTCACGGCGGAAGAGAATCGCGAACCACTTTGTTACAACGGAATACAACACCTTGCCTCAACGGTCGCCGAGAGGCAGATCTGAAATTCATTCTACGGGGCTTCTATTCTAGGCTAGCGATCCGTCCTTTTTTGTTTCACGTGGAATTCACTGCGGGCCAGAAAGAGATAGATTGATATCGATGTAATTTTTAATCGGGCTAATATTTATAAAAACATATATCTCGTGCGAATGCGAGTGCGAATAAACGTACGAGTTACTTTCTCATTCATTGCTTATCGTATCTCAACTTCTACCGAAGTTATATCGGTCTCACTTTGCGATATACATATACAGGCAGGGAGAGCGGGAAGGGGAGGGGTAGAAAGATTGAGTTAACTAGGACTAGCGTTGATCAACGCTTGGCTTGGCGTGCGACCGAGTCGAGTCGGAGAGAAACAATATATCTATATTGATGATCGTACCACCGAAATGGTCCCTCAAGATCGCGGGAAGATCGACTATCATGTCGTCCCCACGTTATCGCGTCACACGCTATGACGAACCTAGTTTAAGGCCCTGTGCACAATAGAGGAAATATTAGGAATAAGTATTAAGATTCCAGCCAATCAGAAACCGTGTATTCCGGTGTAACCAGTTTCCGATAGGTTGAAATCTTAATAAATTACTCCTGTTGTAATATTTCCTCCATTGTGTGCAGTCCCTAATGTTTCCCGGGTCTCTCGCACTGCCATGACAACGGCCTCCATTCTGTAATATTCTGTAACGTCTGTAACTCTTTGACGACAGTTTCGTTACGTTACCGTTGCGCCAGATTTCATGTACGGTAAAAACCTAAAAACGCTGCGCAATAACAGTGTAACGAGATATAATACCGACGCTGTATAATTAAGACGAGTTATATAAAATAGGGGCCAAACAAGAGCCTCGATAGAAAATTCTCCAGGCGCGAATCGATTCACGTGTGATGGCATACACGACACGCACCGGGCAGCGCTTAGAAAGAATCTCGCAATGGTCCGCGCAGCCAGAAGGCTCGCGTGCAAGCCGCGCCGATATTCGAAACTATTCGATTTTTGACGATCGTCGGGTCTCACGTGACAATCGATATTTATATGCGCGCACAGATGCGCGATTTTCAGGTATTTTCGTGCGTGCGTCTCGTAAAGATCATCATATGACACACAAAAAAAACTTGGGCTGCGTCCCCAAGCATGATGCGCATGATGTATCATTTATCTTCCTTTAATATTCGGTGAACAAGGATAAAATGATGTTCATGCGCGCCTTTAAGCAGTAAATAGTACAAATTGTTAGCAATCGCGGTAAAAATAATGTAAGCTGTAGCAAATACAAAATATCGATTTATTTACTGCTTGTCCCTTATGGAAATTTAATACTAATCCTGGCCAATTGATCACTTATTTTGAGTATTAAGAGTATTGTTAGCAGTACTTAAATTTCTATAAAGGACAATGTCTTACTGCTTATAAGATTTTTTGTTTGTCATACAGCAGTTACACGCCGGCTTTGTAAAGTCTATTTTAAAATTTCGTAAAAGCGTAGTTGTGTAGGTCGTTGTAGTCGTAAAAATTGATCAATCACCGTAGTCGAATATTCTTTTCATAAATTCGAGTGTGGTTGATCGATTTTTACAACTACAACCACTTACGCTTACGTAATTGTAGAATAGACTTTATACACACACGCATACAAATGCAACAACCGCGTGGTAGTCTTTTGTAGTCGTGTATACTCGGTATACTAAGCTTAGAGACCCCATGATCAGAAGATGACTGGAACAGTCGTGCTCCCCACTAAGAGTACGATCTGTTCGTCGTGGCTATGTCGTGCCACTCTACACTTCTCTTACGCTTAAAACGAAGTAAATAGTTGGACGTCAGGGAGAGGGGGATAGAATAGGAGAGACGGGAGATGCGGAAAGCTCGGTTACAAAGAGCTGAAAGAGCCACAAGCCTTCCGTATTGGCATTCCGTTATCAAGCAAAGACTGAAACCGGCGGTCGATCGCGTCTTTGCGACAAAACTCGTGTTTACCATCTCTCTACGTGATCTCTCTACATGTATATGTTTGAAAAAATTTTCGACTCGTTTCCGAAGACGTTTGACCGTTCTAACCACAGTAGTAGTTCTCCACACTTGTTTTCTTCCCTCTTCCCCTCTTCTCTTTGAACGAAGTAGGAGGTATCTTGTTTCTACTTGAACTTTTTTTACTGTAAGAAGATATAAAAAGTACAGTTAAAATTCGTTTTAATTTGTTTCTCACTGCACTGGACTGCCCAGATCTATTTTTCTAAATATCAAATATGTATGTCTTTCGCTAAATATCAAATATATACGTCTATTTCACTTGAAGCACAAAGAGTATACATTTATAGTTCAGGTATAAAAACAAAAGTCGCTTTTTGACTATACTTTACGTATTTAGAGTACAATAATTGTATATTCTGCTTTGATAACGAAAAAAACGGACGAAAGGCGTAAAAATATAATTAAAAGGAATAAATATATATTCAAAAATTTGCAAATGTGTAATGATTGTACATAATGTGTATGTGTACGAACGATGGTATGTACGAATGATAACATAGGATAACGATTTTATCGCGAATAATGATAAAACAGTGTTCGAAAACAACATAGATGGAGCGATCGTAGCTGGTATAGTCATGCTAAAATTAGTTCCTCCCGGTATATGTACAAAATTGCGTCTTGTTGCGTCTGCTGTTTTGAAACTGAATAAAAATGGTAAGAATAGAAGAATTTGTTTAAAAAATGTGTAATGCTGTAAAGATCGTATTTTTTATGTGGAGAAAACGTGAATTAATTATCCATATTAATGTCGAAACCTTCGAGAAATGTGCAAATAAATAAATACAGTGCCAAAGCTATCTCAGAAATATTTCGTCACCTTTTCGTTATCTTTTTAATAAATATATAATATTATTATCACAAGATGATGAGGATTTCACAGAGAACAACCGCGCAAGTTCATATAAGATGACATTCAGTACTAATATAATTAAGATTATATAGGTTAAGTTTCCTCGACAATACTTCGTCTCCTTCAGTCTTTTTATGACATATATCTACTTTTACTTTTGGCAAGGCATATTATATTTAGAATGCTGAGTTTAAAATGTTCGACAAAAAAACCAAAAAATTTTGTTTCCTAGAGCACAATTGTGGCAGCAGGTATTGGCCTGGCGGCTGTTGGGTTTGCCGGTCGTTATTTGCTTAGGAGAATGCCGAATTTATCACAGAGGATGGCAGAAACCGTGAAAAAGCTAGACTCCCAGGTAGAAACTACTAGGTCTATTTTTTCCTTAGCAGCTTTTTCATAATTGCAAAGGCATGTAAATAAATGTATGCTAAACTTTCTTAATATTTGTAGTCACTAGCAAATAGCAAATATTACAAAGGTGGTTTCGAGCAGAGGATGACCAGGCGGGAAGCCAGTTTGATTTTGAGTGTGTCGCCCACGGCTAGTAAGAGCAAAGTAAAAGAACAATTTAAAAAAGTAATGGCTGTGAATCATCCAGATCGTGGTGGTTCTCCATATATTGCAGCAAAAATTAACGAGGCAAAGGATCTACTTGAGAAATAATGAAAATATAGCATAATGTAATATATATATATATATATGTATATGTATATATATGTATATATATATATATAATGTATTTAGGAACAAAATTTTGATGTACATAGTTTTAATTTAACTTTACATATTATTTACTATTGTAATATATTTTTGGAGCTCTATATTAGAACGATTAATTTTTTTTAATACCTTCACCAGCTAGATTAAGTTCTCAAGAAAGTTTATGCATGAATAGAAACTGCATATAAATTCAGACTCAATTAGAATAAAATATTCGAGGACAATTATTTTTCATCAGATATTTCGTCAATATTTCCATATTGTTACTTCCATAAAATATCACAATTATGCGACTTTCATTATAGATTATAATACTTCACATTCTAATATTCTCACTAAAATATTTATAATATTGTATACACAATAATAAACAAAAGATAAATTAAAAATAATTGAGTAAATGTATCATACTTACATTGCTAAATGAACATTATATGTACAAAATAGAATTATGCAGTAACAATATAATACAGCATTATATGCATTCATTTTGCAAATGATGCAAATGAATAACAACAGACTAGAGTATTTCGGTGTATGTGAAAAAAGTTGGTCATTTATACTATCGTTCTAACTTATCTTGTTTTCGTTTTATACGTTGTTGCATGTGCTTTGTTCTTAGTTTTGCTATTGTGTTTCCAGGCAGTGATCCAGGTACTTTAAAAATACTCTGTAAAACAGAAAAATGTCTCCATAAATATCTAATGTTCTTCTCTATTTGATATATGAACTACACGTAATATACAACTACATACTTGCATAAACTCGTGACATCGTAAAACAATACTATCTTTCGTAATTTCCTTAAAACACTCAGCTAGCGTTGTAAAATCTTGACAAGCTAATAGATTAGATTTATTTCTTTTTATAAGTGTCAATGCGACACGGAAGATAATCTTGGTACCCTCGTAAAAAAGACAATCCCAAATACGCAGAGTAGTCTGTAAATTTAAAATTACCTTCAATTTTTTGTGGTCAAACTATTTAAAGCTTTTATAAGCAAAATAAGTGATGATACATATTTAGATAATTATTATAAAAAAAATTATTCAATGTTTCGATAATTATGACATACCTCTATAGGTAAAACTTCAGCAAACAAACACACAAACCATTTAGTCGTAATTACTGGCCAAGGCAGCCCTACGTTTGTTACATGTTGATACACGTCAGGCATTTTTATCCTGTAAAAATAACGTATACGTAGATAAATATTGCTGATGAGTAAAACTACAGTAAATTTTCTTTTACCTTACTAATTCTGCGAGTACATCGATATCAGTGAGTAGGCCATCCATAGTACATGTATAATAATCTGGTAGAATTTTATCAATCAACACTTTTAATAACCAAAATGCTGTTTCTTCGCTTTTTGTTACAAGCAAAAGTAAACCCGCTATGTAGTTTAAACCCTGAAAAAAAATTAAAAGCATTTTTTAATAGGGCAGAATAAACATCTTTTGAAATTTTCTCATAAAATCTTACTATTAATGAAATTTTTTATTGAAATTTTGTTATTTTATTCATATATTCGGAAATATGCACTGTAGATGTTACCTGACAATATCCGACAGTTTTGTTCTGATGAGCAAAAGCTAATAAAACATTATATAATTGATGCTGCTGATTCTCTGTATTATTAAAGAATATATTGTCTGGAAATGTTCTTGGAAGATCAGTTTTAATAATCTCAGCGGTTTCTGCATTGTGAGGAGATAATAGTAACTTTTGATAAAGATCTGGCGACGCATTCTTCATATCTTCACCACCGCTTACAGCGAGCCACACCTACAACGATCCAATATTTTTCTGTATTAAATATTAAAAATATAATGAATTGGACTTTGCACAATGAATATTACCAATCCTCTGTGTTCTCCTGGAATGCCTTTACGAACGTATTTCTTGATTGTAATGCTTCGTAGGGATCTTCCTTCACCGATAATTTTCGCCCACTTTTTGGCCATCTTTGCGAGTACCTTAAGGTACTCGGACATAAAATCTTCGTATGTTTCATAATCGAAGTCGTGTGGTCGTTCGAAACCATATTCATCCACATCACTGGAAACAAATATATAAGTATATAATTATCTGGAGACACTGGTAGTGTCTCGGCGCTAAACTGCGCGAAGCGACACTGCTGTGTTATATTATACAATATCTATTATATATAGACTGTATTCTGATATAAACTGCCAGTATCAAAAATCTATAATATACTTAACATGAACTCAAAAAGTGATCCTAGTAGATATACATATAAATAGTTTATAGATACTGTCAATGCAACTAAATTTCTTACACATTCATCTTGTTTTTCTTTTTTTCTCCAACATGGAAAAAAAAGGAAGAAAGATAAATCATGCAAGTTCAGCTGAAAAGAACAGGATTACAGTAGACAAAAATATCGTTTTATTCTCCTTAACAATTAATGAATGACAAATATAAAACTATAATATACTCGTCATTATCAACTGTGTCTCCTAAAGTTTTATCTACAATGTGTTTTTTGCCTTTTTCCCCTCTTTGAGGCAAAAGGCAAGAAGTAAAAGAAACAAAGAGCACATTGTATAAGATTAAGCTTAAAAATAAAGCAGCTTTAGTAACACAAGTTGACACAAACATCATTGTGGATGCTTTCCATTTAGTAACACAATAAACACAGGTTCCGTCTTTTGTTACTCATGGGATACCAAGAAAGACTAAAACGTTTGTGAACTTATGGTCACTAAATCCTGTCCTTCTTTGCATTCGATAAGTAACAAAGAAAAACGATATTTATGTCAACTTTATGTCATGAAATGGAAAACACTTTATGTCTTATAATACAAAACGCAAGTTATTGATATGTTGATTACCAAATAAATATTACATCACATACTTTCATATCACTTTCATTACAGTATGAATGATTCCCGAATACGTAATTGTGGCGATAATAAAAAGAAAAGAAAAAAAACCAAGTTTTGACAAATGATGGATGAAAAAAGCAGAAGAGAGTCTCGCTTTCAAAGTGGTTTGAGGGGCGGAAACATAACCTCGACGAGACAAAAATAAAAGTAAAATAAACGCGAGATTTTCGAATTGACGACTCTGTCGAGAGTCAGTCGTATTCACGGAACACGATACGCAGCGTGAACGCATGATTTGTTTCACAGGAGGAAAAACAACTGTTACAATTACCTGAAGCATGAACTTGCCATGCCCTATGCAATTCGGTGGGTGTCGAGGAGATCTACGATCGCGCGCGCGTGCAACTACGTCCATAGATATTTTGTGTACGAAACGCCCACGGTTTCACCTATCGGCGCGATAACAACCGATCGCGCTCGAATTGTTCGAAAACGCTTCGAAACGCGCGAAGGAAAGTGCACTGCTGAGAACAGCGTGGAGCTCTCGGCTCAGTCGCGTGCGTCTCTTCTCCTCATCACGAATGATTCGTTTCAACACCTGACTCTGACTGCGCCCAACTCCCGAGTCCCGAATGATAGAAGGGAAAGGCGGTTCGTATGTAGAGAGGGTAGAGTTGCGAAAGGCCGTCGAGTTACGAAAGGCCATCCCCATTCCCCCATCAAGACGCATGATCGCCAAAGAAATACTTGCGGGAGTATCTCGCGATTTTAGGCTCCTCCAAATATAGATCCGACCGCTCGCCTCTGTAAATTACGGATGATTTATCAGTGCATATTGTGTACATTTTGTTATTCCGCAGTGATTCGAAAAGAGTGACTCGATCGATTGATCGCGCGCGAGATCGAGTTCGAGATCGATCGTACACTCGGCGTCGTAAACGCCAATATATCTGGTTGTGGGTTTATTGTGTTACTTGAAATTCTTAAAAATTTTTGCAATTAAAATAAAGTAGATATATTTTGACGTTGGAAAGAGAGAGAGAGAAAGCGAATTAAGATTCTAAGTGCAAACAACAGATCTTGGGAGTTTTCCAAGGAAATACAATTTAAGTGTCGTTATTCTTTACTGAGTGAATGAAGATAAATAGAATGATGCTTTTGTCGACTTGTGTCACCAATAAAAGCATCCAATAATTCTTGTATAAGATGACCGTCTCAAATTTTAACTGTTCGTTCCACTTTACAACACGTCTCAAATTTTGTTTCAAATTGAGGACATGATCATGAATTAAAAAAATATCTTTTTTCAATGTGAAAAATAATAAATGTAATTGTCAACTAACTGAAGAATTTTATGATTTTTTATATAAAAACATTCAGTACAAAAGTATAATTTAAGAAAATAAAATGTAATCTCGTAATGATGTAATTTTTGTTGTAATATCTCATATATATATATAACACTTCGACATTAAGTGTTATTAGTTATTTACAAATATAATAATAATATTATTTAAGTGTTTCATTAACAATTGTAATAAATGTTTATCTCTCTTAAAATTTAATTACGACACAAAATGGACATAATGGGGCAATAGGAGTCAAGTACGGTAATTCTTGTGCAAACCAATACGGTTAACAAAACAACTTTAATAATAATTAATCCGCTTATATGTTTCGGCTCACTTTTGACCCATCCTCGAAAACTATAATATAAAAACGAACTCTAATAACAATTTAAAATGTATTAAAATTATTAAAAGATAAATTTTTTGAGAGCAATAACGATTTATTGTAAAATAATAGAAGGTAACTCACTAAAACAGAAATTCACCATATCGTAAACACTTAAATTCTATCGGTTTAGTCAAAAGACGGACTATAAATATCGGAGCGTTGTTATATTGCCAACTGATCAGTGTACATTCTTTGTTACATTAATTTTAAATTATTAAAGATTCAGTTTTGATTTTGATGTCCGTCTGGACTACAATTAAAATCAACCGTTCTTTTTTCTTTTTCTTTACGATTAACGTTTTAGGTGTATTAAAAGTTATTCATTAATTTTAACATAATTGACATTGATTCGCTAAATGGTCAAAAACTAGCTTTTGACTAAACCGATAGAATTTAAGT